ATAATTTGATTGCAAAACATTGTATAGCAGGTTCGTAGGGATTTCAAAGACCTTTAATCTGGTGGAGATCTTTTTGTGGTGTGATAATCACAACCGGATATTTTTGGAAAAAATTGAAAATGCTGTTTTCTCAATTTGAAAAAAACGATAATTTCGCAAATTCTTAAAACGTATTCTACCTTTTTAATTTTTGACCTCATATTCAGATTGTGTAGGTTATTTTACATGGCAAATGACTATAAAATTCACGACTTTCAACTATTTTGTTAGAAATTTTTTTCCCAGAGTGCATATGGTTTTCTAAATTTTCAAATGCAACGCGCAAGTACTTAGAGTTATCATATTCGAATAAAATTTTGCACAGCTTATTTTTAGACCAAAACACATCTTTTTCCGCCCGGCAAACCAAATTTTAATTTTAACGAACGGTCTAATGTAGGTATGTCATATATTTTCTCTAACTTACAACCAGTGATGGAAAATGAGTGTGCATTGTGCCATTTTCGGCCCTTTCGAAAGCAGCAGGCACCTTAAGCAGAATCGATTGATTTTCGGCACTATTTTTGCCGAAATCTGCAATTAAAAATAATTTTTTTTTTTTACATTTGATCGTGATTAGCTTAAACTGATAAATAATATAAACATAAGCAGAAGAAGCTGGCTTCCACGCTCTGCATCTACCCTTAAGATTTTTGTTTAAACATATTTGTCGCAATTTCATCTCTAAAGCAAATATTAAATATCATTTAATACACACTTTAGATTTAAATAATCACTGACCCATTTTGAATATTCTTTGTGGAACAGAAGCCGAAATATTTCTTACTAAAGAAAATTCTGCAGAAAATGAAATTAAAAATGCTTTGAAATTTAAAGTTAAATTTTGCCAAGATTTAAGAAAGAGCACCTTGATACTGCAATTTTAAAAGCCGTTACGGCTTTCGCGCTGTGATGATAAGAATAACATGGATTTTGATATAAAAAAAGTACTGCTTTATAATATTATGTACAAATAATGATCTCAGGGTAAATGAACAAATTTACTAAATTATAATTTACCCAAAAATGTAAATATACAAAAAATCAGGCCTTCTCATTTCTAGACTACAGCATATGGAACTGTCCAATATCCGCAACAATGCCTGAATGCTGGTTATAAGTAAGTTTGCGCAAGGTGAACATTGTAATCTGCAAATACTTTAGGAGGACTGATGCTTTATATTTTTACAATTCGTAATTCCGGGTTAGTGATTGAGCGATGATTTTTGTTTACACGTATTTTTTTTTTTTTTTGAAAACTAGACATACTTTCGGCTATACAGTTTTATAATTCATTTAATTCGCGTTGATTTTTGAGACATTTTTTCGTTGAAGGTGTTGCACTTTTTCTTCCATTCTCAAATTTTTTGTACATCCAATATGTATAAAGAAAATGCAAAAAAAAAATAAAAAAAATATTAAAAATTCGAATTCCTAGCCGCACTGGCATTTTGTAATCCTAAAATTTAATGGACTATAAAATTATATACCCGAAAGTTTTCTAAAACAGATGACAACAAAGTTCTAAATTTGCGTGAAAATTTTTCCTAGAATGTTTTGAGCTTTAATTTTTATGGTTTTTGTTGTGGTGTTGTTTTGTTGTTGCATTAAAGAAAGGTTTTCCTATAGATTTCTGTTCTCTTACACGCAATAAGTACTGTAAATATATTTTGTAAAGGAAATGGTACCTATCGACGACTTTCAATTTATTGGCACATTGACCTGCATTTAGGCACAATTTTCCGGAGAAATTCGGCACAATTTTAAATTTTGATTTTCCATCACTGCTTATGACCAATCTTTTTTTTTTTTTAATAGGGTCATTGAGCTACAGAAGTGGCCTCGCCTTCAATCCCAGTAAGACAGAATGGGTCTTTATCATTAGAAAGTAGAAAATCTCTACCGCTGGTCTTCCCCCTCTAGCAGATCAGCGCTTGCAGCTTTCTGACAAGGCCAAGTACTTGGACTTGATTCTTGACAGCAAACTGCCGTGGATGCCGAACATCGAGGAAAGGGCAGGAAAGGCGTCTTTATACTGCTGTAGGAGAGCTATTAGAAAGAGATGGGGTGTTTCGCCCAAAGATGTATATTGGCTCTACGAGAACGTACTCAAGACTATTATGTTTTATGGAGCCCTAGTCTGATAGAACTCGCTTAAGAAGTATATACTAGCTAAGCAGTTGGAGCGCCTACAACGGGTTGCCTTAATTGGTATTAGTGGAACACTGCGGACCAGCCCACATTGGCACTTAGATCGGCTTAAGAAGTGGACATTCTGGATCGAAACTGGATCCCAGGGTTTCTGTGGAGAGTTTTCCATTAACATTAAGTTCAAACTTCCTTACTGGAAGGCTGAGAATTCACTGTTGAGGAGTGTGCATTTATTTAGTTAGTTGCGTAGGAATACTTCTGCATTAGGATCATTAGGGTTCTGGGTCACAGCGACATTACGGGGTACTATGTGACTGACGAATTGGCTAGGGCAGGGGCTCTTAAAGCAGTATCACCACACAAAGAGCAGCTGGGGGTGCCCTTTATCGCCTGTGGTACACTCATGTATTCTCATGTCAGCTCAGCGAGCGCTGGGCGAAAACCAGTTCATCAGCGATTGCAAGGTCCTTCTGGCCAGGGTGTATAGGCGACGGTCGAGGGCAGTCCTCACACTTACAAAATCACAGTTTTAACTCTTGGTGGGAAATTTAACGGGTCATTGTCCAATCGGTATTCACGCAGTAAGGGGCTGAACTCATGTAACGCTGTTACCTGGAAGATGTCGAGGTGGAATCACCTCAGCACTAACTTCTTGATTGCCCAGCTTTCGCAAGACTAAGGTTTACATACTTGGGCTCGCACGTTTTCAATAGATTTGAGGAGATCTGTGGCATTCAGTTTAGCCGAGTTCGTGGTTACAAATTCGGCTCAAGACGTTTTATTGATTAAGTAGTGGGTGCCGTTCAGAATGTGGTATCACAAAGGATAAGCTCTTAATTGACTAAGTGAGTACTTTACTTTGGGGACTGGCATAACCTAAGACTGTAAACTTTGTGTTAACATTTGCTTATTAATTATAATTTTCGATAACTACTGCTAAGATCCGCTATTACTATTCGTTAAGTTGTGTAATAGTTTTTTTAACCGAAACCTAATTTTTAACAACCAAATGCTTACAAGCTACTTCGAACATTAATTAAAACATCTTTAAGGATGACAACTTTTAGTTTACATGACAACTGACATGAGTGGGCTTTATACAGTTACAATCACATTTAATTAAAAATCTACTCACCGCTGCATGTCCAAAAATATCCAAACTAAGTAACTGTAGATTCTTCATTTCATAGCCGTGCATACGTGCCTGTGTACGCGTGCATGTCGCTGTGAACTAAAAACCACAAATTGATTGTCTAAATGCGTTGGGATGCAGGGCTTCCGTGTATGTAAGAGTTTGGACCGCATAGCAAATATTTAACCGACTAACTAAGCAACTGCAAGCCAAATACGGCCAACGGGTACTAGACACGCATCAATTGCCTACACTTGGCCACCGGTTCGAGAGCGTGTGAACACAAGCAATTTATGAATGCGCGAAGACGAAGTTTGCTTACAAGCACAGCTAAGTAAAACGACTGGTTGAGTGTCGGCTAGTTGCACGCTTAGTAGCGTGCACGGAACGACCTTTTTTGGCGCGTTCCACTCATGCCAGCGCCAAGTGAACAGCTAACCGGCCATTAGCAAAATGGTAAACATCTTTTACACACACTCCTGCCGCCTACTGACCAACAAGCTACAAGAGAAATAGTATAAATAAAAATGTCAATTTGACATAAATATGTTGGGGGATTTGTTGGTCTTCTTCACTGCCGTTGACTCTAATACATCTAATGTATTACATACATATGTACCTAGTCGCATAACTTAGCAGCACCTTCTTAAATTTCCATTTATTTTTCTCTTTCATTGCAGATGCAACTCGAAGGCCTCGTACTTGCCCCGCCAGAGTCTCGAGAAGCTCAACAACTTGGATCCGGATCATGGCAGTTACAAGCTCACGCTCACCTCAAACGAAGACTTGGTGGCGAACACAAAGCCGCCCGCTGCCTACGACATACTCAATGCACATAATGGCAAAATGCCTAACAATTTGCCAGATGTTCTGCCATTGGGCGCAAAGTTGCAACCGCAACCTTCGTCGCCGACCTCCGCCAATGCTTCGCCGTTACGCTATGCTTCCAACAATAACTTAAACTCATCAACTGTCTCTGCACCACCTCAGCAACAGCAGCAGCAGCAGCCGCCGCAACCACAGCAACTGCAGACGCCAGCGACATCCAATTGTTATCCCGTATATCCACCCACCCAGCACCGCTACTCAACGCCAACCATGAATTCTTACAACAGCAATGTTGCAAACAGTGGTGGCAAACCGCACAACTACAGTCGATCTCAGTCGTATGACGTACACAATAACTCGCACAGTGGTAGTTTTTATCATCCCAACCACGCCCAGAATAGTCCCACTAAATTCATGTCTCAATCCACAATGGATCTGAAGCGTACACAACAGTTGGAGCCGACGCTAGAGGAGACCACAGCCGCCTTACTCAGCGAGAGTGCCACAGTGCTGTCGCCCGCGCAATCGGAGAGTAGCCTCAGTAGTCCGAACAGACATCAACCGCAACTGATTTCGATGAAGCCGCTCTCTAGCCTCGGCAGCTCCAGTGATAGTGGCAGCACTAGCGGCAGTGAAGGACGTATTTTCCGCGCCGAACTGGTCACAGCTACGCTTTCAACGTCGCCTATCGCGCCAGTGAAATCTGTTATACGCAAGGACTCATTGCGCGAAAATATCGAGAAAATAACGCAGCTGCAGTCGAAACTGATGTCGGCCCATGTGTCTGAAACCAGTTTAATTGGCATGTATGGCTCAAGGACGACACTGCATTCAGCGCCTACAACGCCCATAATGGCAACAGAAAACATACTCCAGCAAACGCACGAAAGCTGTGAGAGTCCCAAGCGCACTGCTGCCGCTAGTGTTGAAGAGCCAAAGGAGCAAGTCGATACTGTGCTCACAGAAACTATATCTGATTTTAAGGAGGAAAGCAATGTAGCGGATGCAAGCGTCGCACAAACTCCTACAACACACACAAATTCAAACTCCTCGCCAACCTCGCCAGCAACAAGCGAAACGCTACCTCAATCAGCAACCACCGTCGCCAGCACAAATACCACAAGTGATGACCTCATTGCAACACAAATCACGCAAATGAACTCCAGCACCGATGGTTTAAAACTTATGCAGCGTAGCGAAATTATACTACGCGTGAATCCATCCACCACAGAGACAGCGTCGCAAACCGATGATGATTATTTGGTGTCTGCAGCTAACGATACCGAGGAGCATACACGACTCACGGAGCAACCACACAACAAGGAAGATGCTCAGCAACAGCGCATAACGCTGCAGCCACGTCAACGACATCCCATCGAAATTGACTGTGAAGCCATGTCACAAGAACTAGCTACACTCTTGGCGTCCAATGAGAAACTGGTGCAAATCTTAGCGCCGCCCGCACTCAAATCAGCCACGGATTATGTTAGTAACCTTTATAATCCGAATGTGCCATTACGACCGGCTAAACGTGATGTTGGCACTTCGACGCTGCTGCGCATGAAAGGACGTGACAGCCAGGAGAAAGTAACAGTAGAACTACAGTATGCCGAAGTGGAGGTATTACTGGCCAATGGCGACAGTGAAACGGATACTTGTGATTTGCTCAAGAAGAAGGTGGTAAGTGCGATAAGGACAACTCCTTGCAGTTTGGTTGGAATGCTATAACGATTTTCTCTCTTTTTAGGATGAACTTATCAAGCAACTTAATCGTAAGATACGCGTACTTAACAAGGAGCAAACGACGCTCAAAGAGGAAGCTGAACTCAACGATGAGTTGGGTAACAGTCTGGTCAGCAAGCTGACGGACAAAGTGCGTCCCATAGAGGCAACCAAGTGCCGCACCTACATCGATGATGTGGGTCAAATTACGAGCTTACTGCTTTCGCTCTCCGAACGATTGGCACGCATAGAGAATAGTCTGAGTGCTGTGCCGGCTGAGAGTGGCGCTGAGAAGGTAAGAAAGAAGAAGTAAATTTTTGATGGAATGAAATGGAATTAGAAAGAAGTATGTATGTTAGGCTGTACCAGAAAAAGAAATTCGCCGTCACCATCTGAGTCTGAAATAATTTTGCAATATATTTTCGAAATTTCAAATCTTCGACATTTACAGTCGGATCTTAAAGTATGATACATACATACATATATCGATGTTCCTGTATTTTTCAAAAGTCTTCGACGTACTGAATCCAAATCCGGTGACATACATATGTGACTGCTCTAGCGGCTCAGGTTTCTGCAAAAACGTGATTTTGGCCTATATTTGAGGTTATGTAGCATCGCGATTGGTTTTTTTGTACAAGTATTCTTCTTTCGAATGGCGTTGAGTTTGTTGTTTTTTCGTCAAAATATTGAATTTTAAAAATCCTTATTACCGCACTCAGCCGAACACATAGTCGCGAAAGTAGGAATATGGTTATCGCGTCCTTTACACATTTTGGTTAAAACATCTCGAAAACGATCACGGATTTGAATATTCAGCACGTCGAAAACCTTTACAAAATTACACTCCGGGTTCTGATAAAATGTGTAAGCTTCATTTGAGGATGTCGGCAATATGTTCTTTCGTTTCAGCATCTCCGGTTGCATACTTCTAGGCATAGTGCTTTCGAAAATCTCATATTTCACCTTCTTAGCTCAATACAGTTTGCAAACAACAAATATTTAAATCGATTTTTATTCTTTTTCCCAGAAATCACTCGAACTAAAACGCGATCGTCTGCTCGATCAACTTGCCGAAGCGAAGCGCCTTAAAGAGGACATCGATCGACGCGGCAGCAGTGTTGTTGGCATTGTCGAGAAAAATCTCAGCGCGGATGAATTTGCCGATTTCGATTATTTTATCAACATGAAAGCGAAATTGATAGCAGATACACGTGATATTGCGGACAAAATCAAGTGTGGCGAAGAACAACTCAACGCGCTAAGTGAGGCGCTCATTCAAAGTGATTGTTAAGCGAACGAAAGATTGGGAAGCTCAGCAGCCAGATTACATTATTCGCAATCGCTAATTTTGATTGCCAAAAATCTCCAAAAGAATAACAGGCGCGCCTAACAAAATGCAATATCTAGTTGAGAGATTGTAACTGCTACTTTTCCTAATGTATACTTTTAGGCGCTACTGCTTTTAATTTAGAGAATTTTCGCGACGAAAATCTAGCGTTGCGATTGGCAGAATTCCACTGCAGCTTCCAACGAAGTGATTTTAGATATGCACTTACATACATACATAACTGGATTAATGTAGATATTGTATATGTATGTATGCAAGTAGGTTATTATGGCGGCGGCTGACCAAGCGGAGTGATTTTCCATGCCTTCAACAGCAACGAGTTGAAAGCTTAGTGTGAGAATCGACGGAAAAAGCGGGCAATCTATGAGCGTTATGGAAATGAGCTTTCATGGACTTTTTTTTGGCCATCGGCGAGTTAAAATAAAAAACAAAAAAGTTGCACCAAACTTAGTTGTTGGGGTTTCCTAGTTTTGACTTTTTTTATAGAATCTGTAAATTTTGCAAAATTTAGTACACTGCAAACAGGGTGCTAAGCTTTAAATATTTTAAAATGTATACGGATATGTATAACGTAAATATATGTAAATTTAATAGGTAGCTAGCGACTATAAATTTATTAACTGTGGCATTATAAAGCAATTCAAATAAAAATAAAAATAAAAATGAAAATAAAAATAATAAAAAGAGCTCAAACTCAATACAAGCAATTTTAGTTAGAAAAGCATTCAGGAAAGCACATCTTAATGCAGTAACTATTTAAAAATTAATGTAATTTATAATACATACATATTTAATAATAAAAACTTACTCTTGTTTGTATAATATGTGATTTTAAAATATATATTTTATGTCTATTAGTCCATATCATAATACAATTTTTAAGTAAAAACTGCAAAGCGCATGCGCGACGCGCACATTAATTACCTACATAACAAACCTTTAAGTGGACTACTGTCCTCAAATATGTAGATGGCAAGAATATATGTATGGCATGCGAAAACTTAAACAATGTAATGCACGCATTCAATGCATTCAAGTTAAGATCAATAAGAA